GTATTTGTCCGTCAAAATAGAATATTAAGTAAGGTTTTTTTTCAGAAATTTTCTCTCATAAAATGAGGGAATCAACAACCATTGTATTCAATCTAGGAAAACTTGAGTTAAGCCAAACTTTGGGGTTTCGTGATGGTGGATAATTATTGACTGTAGAAGATATATTTAAGAGAAGTTAGTCGGGTTTTTCAGTCAACAAAAGTACAAAGTACCTTTGTGCCGATGTTTCAGCCTACATTTCAGACCTTTATCAACGCTGTTTGTTCAAGGGGTGTCGGACAAGTTTGAGCTTTCATAGTCTATTTTCGTTTACACTTCCATGATTGGAGACGAAACAGTTTATACCCGTGTTCACTTATTATCACAAATTGTGAGAGAAAATGCAATAAAATTATTTTTCAATAATAGACCAGAGATGATACATAAGTTCAATGGTGCATAAACATTGGCACATAATTACATAAAACCAAAACAGGAAAATAATTTACATAAATTAAGATTATCAAAAGAAACTTAACTTCTTTATTTATCAACTTTTACAAAAAAAATATTAGATAACCATTCTAAAGCAATCGATCATCAATTCCAAACCAAAACCCCTCTCGAACGAGTCACTAAAATCAATAAAAAAAATGTTCAACTTAAAGAAATGAAGGTAATTCATACGGAAGAATATGACATTAGATTTCAAAAAAATATTCAAAACCTTCTACATCCTTTTTACATATTTTGTTATTTATTGTAAAAATTAACCGTAGGTTCATAATAAATGAGAACACATATTTGCATCTCCCATTTTATAAACTATTATAAGATTGATGAACTTAATTTCGAATATCATAGTTGGTATCCGTTTTTATTATCTTTCGATCTTGTATTAATTGAAATTATATAATTACATTAAAGCCCTTGGTTATAATTCATTCAAATAACCAACGTCCTACTATATTGAAGTTTATTAACAGAAAAGATAATATAATCAATAATATCTCATTTATATATACTGGCTAAATAATAAAACATATTTCTTTATCTTGACATATATAAATATATTATAAGCAACTATTTATAAAAATCACAAATATTAGTAACTCTTTTTAACACATTTATTTACAGAGATAATACATAGATATATATATATATAAATATAAATAATCAAAATCAGACTGATTTAATATCTCCTCTGGACCATATATATGTATATATATAATTTTTTTTTTTAATGTTGGTACATGATGACGTGAGAACATAAAAAATAACATAACACAGAGAGGATCTTCTAACCGGAAATAGTGTTTCAATTATCAAATCGCCAGCAACATAACAACAACAATTATTTGTTCTTCTGCTTTAACTGACTTTACCTAAAAAAAATTGTGATAAAATAACATGTAAATGAAATAAAAAAATAAAATAAAATAAAATAAAAACAAAAAATATTGTACCTTAAAACAAACAAAAAAGTTAAATAATAAAAAGCATTCCAAAATGACATAAAACAAAATGCACATTAATCACAATATCATGCAACATGCACAGTTATTATTAATTAGTTAATTGTTTTTTTTAATATGATTTGAGAGGGACAAAGTTAGCAAGACATTTTTTTAGTAGTTAAATAAAGAAATAAAACAAAATAACTTAGCCCAACAAGACACTTGAAATAATTCTATATCACAAGAGTTTCCTAACTTTTTATCATTTGAGGATAAAAAAATAAATAATTTTTTTTTTTTTTTCGATATCTCAACATTGAATAAACTAAGATACACCAAAAATATGTTGATTTGTCCAAATTATGGTTAAACATTGTATTGAACTTTGATGGCCTGTTTAAATTCATCCCAGATTTTTTCGCTCAGCACATTTTTCTTAGTTTTTGACGAAGTTCAATATTCTGAACTATGCATTAGCATTGCCTAACGCTAGTCTCGTACATACGAGTGAGAGAAGACATGACATTTCAGTCCTTTATTATTTATTTTTATTTAGGCCTTTCTTGTTTCACTGGTCACATTTCATTGTCAATATCAAGGTATCAACCAATTAAGATAATTGAAATTTCTGACTTTTTCAAGAAATATTTGAAAAATTCTTAACTGGCAAAGCTGTGGATATTGCAATATAAAACCTCTGTAACTACCATTTTGAAACAAAATGGCAAATCATAACATTGAGTTCTGAGATGAACTGTGGCTGGCATCAAATCTGAAAAAAAAATTCAGTCCAAAAGTGTCGGAGAAAAGCTGTGGATGGATATTTTTTAATTTAAAATTTGGATGCTACCGATCTTGAAATATAAAGACTCAAATTTTAAAAAGGTATTTTTATCATTTTTTTCTTAATAAATTACAGGATGAACGAGCACCTTGGAGGATGGGTCCTAGAGTGCCTGGTTCTGAACGTTATAGGTTAGATTTCCACCTGAGTCGGTTAATTTTTATTTTTCGGTAGCCCTGGGAAATGAATCTTGACATTTCTATTCTAAGTACGCGGTGGCAACCTCAAAGTAGCGTTCAGGGGTCAGCGATCAAAAACGACCATGTGGCCCACTTGCTGGACCAGTTCTCCTCCCCCCCCCACCCTTCAGTACCAGTAATCAAGTACAAAGACTCATTATTAAAAATACTGAACCAAAATTAATGCGAATTATAACAAATAAAACCGAAGTCGGCCAGGAATGTTCTAACTCACTGTAAGGGCTAAGCTATACATATCTGTTTTCAAACTCTCTAACAAAAAGTTCCTTTAACTGCCAAAATTAGCTATCCTACAGTTGGAATCAAAGGAATGTAATAAACAGGAGGGACAACGCTAATCTTGGATCCAACTGTTCGCTTTGAGAGCAATGACCTCGATCAGGCGGGTGAAGTAGAAAGGGAAAAGAGGAATATATATGATAAATGCATCCCTTTCCTAATAGAGAAATTCTGCGAGATCTTCGGAGAGAGAGAGTTCACCGTGAGAGGCCTCTGGTTTGGGTCTCGCGGAACGATCCCGGAAAGAACAAGGAGCTTCCTCGAGGAACTAGGTGTTGATGTTGGGAAGCTCGCGGTATTGGCCGAAAATATTATTTTGGACTCCCTGGGGATCATCCACTATCATCTATATACTGATTGAGGACGTCTGGTATTAATTGTTTATTAAATTTTAAATTAGTCCACAATCGTCTTATCTTTTAGTCTACATTCGAGGAATTGCTGTGTTATATATGTGAGCGATTTTGTAATGAGTTCCTGGCGTTTGAGAATTTAAAGAGAGAAACAGGGAAATATATATAATGATGTAGAGATGGTTGACCGTTGATATGATATGAGAAGGAGTTTAGTCAATTTAGGGAAATATATATATATTTTTTTTTGTCTTGGGAAAATGTTTATTGTGTTATTTATATTGTTTAACATGGTTTTATTGTTGATAACTTGTAAGTGTATTATTATGAAAGGGAAGAAGAAAAAAAAGAAAGAAAGGAAAGATATGTCATATATATATAAAAAATAGAAAAATAAAATAGAAAATTAATGTCCGTGTGGATTGATAGGTATGCTGTGTACGAAGCAACCCTATGTAGTAGGGCAGCATTACTTTTAATAAAGTACTTCTCTCTCTAGGAACTCATGACGACTTTCCATATCTTTAAAAAATTTACAGTAAATACCCTGATCCCCAGATTTATCCAATAAAAAAAAAAGTCTCCAACATATTTAATATATCTAGCAAATATAGGTTATACAGCAATGCTAAGGTTATACTGGGTAGTATTATATTCTGTATTAAAACAATGTTGAATAAACAGTATTTTATATTTTTGGCAGCAAAAAGTTAGGTAACTCCTGTTCAATCGACACCTTAATATAACCAGTACCAAATAATAACATGGTTTCTATGAAACTTGAAAACATAAAACCAATAATGACTATAATAAGAAACAATGACAGAGTTTATATTCCATAACACTGACACCAAACTGTAACATGAGAGAGATTGTGTGCATATAAAGACCGTCCAACAAGTAACCATACCATAGTACAAATATTGTAATCATGCATTACGGTATAAATTAATTATTATAATGGTGAGTAGATAAGAAACAAAATAGGTAGGATTAAATAAAAGTATAACAGCCTTTAACGATGTCATGTGGTAAAAACAATTGACTCCAATACAAATCAATAGTGTGCTTGGCAGAGTACTATAGAAACCAGCATTTTAATTGAAGAATAATGAATAATTTTTATTCTAAGTAACACACAGCTGTTTTTTTTTTTATATATAAAAAAATTAATTTGAGATTTTGACAGTTCATTTATAATTACAATGCACTTTCAAAGTAGTGGATTCAGGATCTAATTTTGTAAGGTCTTCAGACTGAAAGGTTTTATATAACTCACAAACAAATAAAATGGTTTGGGGGGACTTTAGCCCGAAATTCACAGCCATGTTTTCATAAATCCCTTATAATCCATTCTGATTAGGTCTATTTAGATGAAATTTGTCTTAAACTCATTTATTTCTAAGTCTATTTTTTTCTTCTATGAGAAAAAATAATTAATTAGACAATATTCCACAATAACATTGGGCACCACTTTATTTCATTATCAAGGAAAAAATGGTAAAATCAAGATACCTATCCAAAATAGAAGTAGGGAATAAATTTAATCTTATGTAAAAGTAATAATAATATTTAAGTTGTTTCAAACGGTGAAACAGTCCTCAAATATATCACAAAAGATAGAAAATTCAATAACACGGAAAAACAACTTTCCTGTCATATGCGTCGGTTATCCATTCTAAACTTTTTAAGGGATTCAATTTACGATATAAAATATATTCCGCTATATAAAAAAAAAATCTACTGTAAAATGCAATTTCAGATCGAGAATGCTACATAACACAAGTGCACTTTTTTTTTTACTTATTTAAAAAAAAACTTTGACAAACTTAAAACTAATATTAAAACAATTAATACAGACGATGGCGATATATATTGGATTGCTTACTATCAATGGTTCCAAACTCTTTCTCGTGGGCGCGAGTGAGCACCTGTTTGTAGAGAATCTCGGCTTCTTTGTACTTCCCTTGTTTGAGGTAACACGAGGCCAGGTTGTTCTTTGTCTTGGCGACGTTCGGGTCGTCCGGGCCGAGTTTGCTTTCGTATATTTCTAATGCTCGTTGGTAATACCTTTCTACTTCCTCGTATTTCCCCTGAAAAATTATCATCAAATTTAAAAAAGTGGATTTTTTTTTTAATTTAAAATTTTATAACTTAATCAGGAGCCTACTATCATTTAAGGCTATTCTATAATATTTGTTGAATTTGTTCTGAAATAGCTTAACAAGCCATTAGTCAACATATGTATAAATCTTCCTATGAATAATATTACCTTCTCTCTACTACAACTACTAATTCAAATCTATGACAATTACTATTACTATAGCAGGACATCAGTCATAACAAATATAGTAGAACGGAAGGATGGATGGTTGGGATGATCAGTCAAAATAAAATAGTTTTTTTAAAATTTATTTATATGATATTTACACTGTATACAAAAAATACATCTGGTAAATTCGCACATGGATATAAAGACATGAAACACATGTTGAGAAACTACCCATTGGTAGCACTCTAATAATATGTCTATATTAGGAGATCACGTGGCCATCTTCTTTTCAGACGCCTCGGAGGATTATCAGGAATTGAATAGGAAGCAAGGTTAGAAACAAGAGGGTTGGGATGGTTATGAAGTTTGTTATGGAAGGACAGATATCTGGATTGGGCCAAATCTGATACATAAGGAATATTAAGGTCATTATCGATGATTTTATTTGTAACAAAGTAAGGAGCATTGAGGATTATATGAAGGATTTTGGATTGTAAGGATTGGATGCGAGAGGAATTTGAAGGTTTGGTGGAGCCCCATAGCTCAACTCCGTAAGTCCAAATAGGCCTTATTATAGTCATGTAAATTAGTCTTTTATAGTTAATTGGAAGGTTAGAACGTTGGTCTAGTAAGTGTTGAAGTAGTCGGAAACGTCGAGCTGTTTCTTGTCGTTTCAGTCTGGTATGAGGATTCCAAGTTAGACGTTTGTCCAGATGGAGTCCTAGGTAAATAAAATAGTAAAAATAAATAATTGTACATATTGATACATTTGCTCATTCATCTTTTTTGCATTATTTTAACTTTTTATTCTCTTATACATAATCAGTATTTTTGATAGATTTTAAAATATCTTAATTTTCTATTGATATCTATTATTTCCTTATATAGCTTCATATTTCTATTCTCTGTTTTACATTTTATTCTAAGATTACCATTTTTCATTTCTTATATTACCTTATTTTGATTATGTTTATTTCATTGGTCCATGCTTTGTTGCCATTATTATTATTTATTTCTTAGTCCTCTATTAATGTTATTATTCTACCTACTTCAGTTTACTTGAAGTTTTTCATCTACATTTTTTAGTCTATACCTTTCACCTTTTTTAATTTTAATTCTTTATAATTCAATGTTTGCAGTTTCTTATACCTATTGTTATCTGGTTCTTTTCTTAGCCCTGATGAAGACCTCAACTTCGGGCCGAAACGAAAAAAGAGGCAAATGTGAAAATATACACAATTATTCATTTTTATTATTTTATTTTGACTGATCACCCCTATTATCCTTCCCTTCAATTATTCACTTAAGTCAACCATCAACCCACAATTAAAAAAATATAATAATATAAAATAAAAGTTTTATATACTGTTCAAAGTCAAATTTTATTTAGACTAAAAAAAAAAAATTATAGGACCACAGCACTAATACATTAATGAAGTGCTATTTTAAATTAATTCAATTAAAAAAACTTACTTATTATAAATATAATGTTAGTATAAATATGACATAATTGAATTAACATAAATAATAAATATCAAAACAACTTTTTTTTTTCTTTTTTAATGAAGACTTTGTGAAGTATCTACTAGTAATTTATTTCACAAGTTTTTTCCTAATATTTTTATGAAACAGTCATGATTACCGTATTGGTTATTAAGTAAAATAGAAAAAAAAATATATATATTTATTTATCGCTTTTCTATAAAATATGTCTATTTTTTTATTCTTTTACTGTATCTACACAGTTGCATCTGTCGCTCACTTTTACACCCCATGATCAAACCAATATCAAATAGAATATGATTTATGATAGAAATAACCAGCTTGGTTGTATAAGAATACTAAACACGAGATAACTGCTTATGTACGTCATTATTAACTAAAACGATAACGATAATGTATTATACAATGGCTTAGCAAAATTCACTGGTTGAATCTGGCTGAGTGTTTAAAAGACGTTTTTGCTGAGCAGTAAATTGTATAAATGACCATAAGCTTCAGCCATTCTGATGGGTTAAAAAAAATAAGGAAAAATTTAATTTAAAAAAAATCAAAATATTAGTCATCATCATCATCCGATGGCGCTATGGTCCTTGTAGAACCTTGGCCTCTACTATCTTCCTCCAAACTGACCTATCTTCGGCTGGTATCAAAATATTAGTACTAAATAAATATATTTTTTTTTTATGTTCTGGGTGAGCCAACTTAAGGATTAATATTTAAATTTTATTTTTTTTTTTTAATAATGCATATACCTGGTTTTGGCAAAGCAGAGCAAGATTGTTGAGCTGCTTGGCAACGTCAGGGTGATCCTTTCCGAGGACTTTCTCTCTAATTTCAAGGGCTCGCTTACACAGCGGTTCGGCCTCCTTGTACTTTCCTCGTTTACCGTACAAAACGGCAAGGTTATTTAAAGTAGCTGCGACCTGTAAACATAAAATAAATAAAATAATAATCAATAATTACTTTATGATTAGCAAATTAACATTTAAATATTGTAATCAGCAAAAACTGGGTGGCGTGTTGCCAAATGGACTAAAGCACTAACATTAGGTTAGCAAAGTTAGCAATGTCGAGCGTGTTAAGTAAATGAGTAAATGAAAGAAAACCAGTATGCCTAAAATTTTCGCTCTCCAGGTGCTTTAATCGAGAATAGAGATATGGTTTTCCACAATGTCTGTAGCCTCCTGAAGGTTTGGTGCATAGAAGGTCTGTTTAGTGAAAGAAATATAGATCCTCAAGAGCCTGCTGTATCTGCATGTAAAATAGTAGGTTGTCTGACTTGTCATATATTGGCATAAGGCATTCTTTCCTTATATGGTACTGATCCTTATTTGGAAACTAAAGAGATCTGCTATCTGTATTAGAACCTCTTGATCAAGTCCTGTGATTGACAGCTAAAATTTCTTCTGTGATGATATAATTCTTGATGCAGAGAAAATAGCATAAACTTGAAGAAACCATAGAGCGGGATTCGTTTTATAAAAGGAAAATATCATATTTGTAAGACCTTTTATACCGACCTAGAGGGGCACCGGCCGACTTTAAGGGGTGCTCGCCATTTGTTAAAATAAAAAAATAAAATACAAACTTATTAAAATAATTAACTTTAGCCTATCAATAAAACAACTGTATTAGAGAAATATTGAATGAAATAAAATTGAAATATTACATAATATAAAACAGCTTAAGAAATTAATTTAATTTTTTTCAGGGGGAGCGGAGATGACGTCATTGCTCGAGGGCGGCGAATGTCTAAGGCAGCCACTGCTGGCTATTATAAAGATGTTAACGAAAAACACAAAAAAAAAATCTATACTTAAAAAGGTTATATTGTTTGTATAAAAAAAAAGCAATAAAAATGACTGATAACAGAAACAAAACAAACATGTTTTTGTTAAGAGATATTTGTGTTTTCTCTCACCTACTGGTCTTCCATTTCTCATAGCTTGGATCTTCTTGACTTAACATTAATTTTCATTGGAATGTTCACGGTATATCTTGATTATAATAAAATATGATTTTTTGTGTCACTATATCCCCACATATATTATTACAGTAAGGCTGAAGTTATGAAAGAAAAGAAGATTTATTTGCAAAAAACTAAAAAAATACACACTTTTCCCTTGGTTATTCCCATGATTATACAAAACATTACAAAATTATCTACAAAAGGAAAAAAAAATCATTGAAATCGGACAATTTTTCACAAAGATATTGCTTATTGAAATTTGTAAATATGTTGGTTCCAAACAAAAATGAAGATTTAAATTAATATTTTTTTCTTTGTCAATTATATTTATTGATAAAGTAACAATTGATTCCTTTATCTTTTGATACATTGCATTATTTTATTTTCTTATTAATTTGGCATTTGGTAACAATATGCTGTGCGAATTTTTCGCACGGGCGTACTATTTTATAATATTTTTTTTTAGAAAGTTATTTAATATCGACTAGTGGTGCTACAAGCCTATAAACTATGGATCTGGATTGATTTGGCACTGCCCTTGAACCTGAGTGAGTAGAAAGTGAGGGCATTGTTAGATTGGCCCCATAGCGATTGACTTTGAAGTCATGGTCCATAGCAACATGAGGCTGGGTGACCTCCTCCAGGCTATCTTTGATTCCACAAACAATATACACATGTAAGGAGACCACATAATGCGGCAAAAGATCTACATGGCCTAAATATCTAAGACCCAATAAAAAAATCTGGAGATTAATCTTTTACAAGAATCGATACTTTACTCATTCCCTAAGAAAAAAAATAAATGAAATTGCCTGGGATTAATAAATGCTTATCCAGTATGTGCTTTTATTTCTCCTTAGATCCACATTAAAGTGAGGGTTAACTTTATCATAAAAGATTTATACAGTATGCAATTCTAGAAAATATAGTAAAAGCTGTAGAAAAAAGTAATACAGTGCTATAATATTTACAACAAAATAAATAAACATTTTTATAAGCTTACCGCAGGATGATTTTCTCCAAGTGTTTTTTCTCTGATGGCAAGAGCATCATTCAGTAAATTGGCTGCCTCCTTGTATTTATTTTGGTCCCTTAAAAAAAAAAAAAAAAAAAAAATCAGTCCCAACTCAAAGGGCCCATGGACAGGTACCGGTTTAGGTACCTGATTCTGGACACTATAAGCTAAAATACAATGCTCATCATGCATAAATATATATTACCTGTAGACAAGAGCAAGAATGTTGAGCATCGTTGCTACATCGGGATGATCGTGACCTGAAGTTTTTTCCAAATCTTCAAGAGCTTGCTTGCACAAAGGAACTGCGACCTCGTAACGCCCCTGAGAGGCGTACTGAATTACTAAGTTATGAAGAGTCCTCAAGCGAGCAGGAATCTCGTATCCCGCGTTCACCTGCTGTGCAAAGTGGCTAGGCGGAGTAGGGGACATTGCTGGAAATTAAAGGAAAAGTTTTACTTCTCATACTTGCAAAACTGTTCTATAAATGATATTTTCATGCACAGAAATTACAATAGAAATGTTATATGAGTTTAACTGTTCTTTAAAAAAAAAATGAAAATTATACAAAAAAGAAAAAAAAAAGCTTTTCAGCTTCTTCTTTGACTTAAGCTAAAAGTCATTAAATCTGAATGCATTCTATCTTAAGAATACATCTAAGCTTGTTTTACCCAAAATAAATTTTTGTCCATTTTTAAGCATTTGAAGATCTTGGGGGCAAGAATATGACAAGCGAAAATTTTAAAAAGCTCAAATTTGGATAATTTATCTTTGTATGAATGAGATCACAAACATATTAAATAATTAGTTATGATTTCTATACTAGCAGAAGTAGATTTCTCTCCATAAATCCTACTAATAATGAGGGATTCAAATAATTCAAGAGCCTGCTTATCCACAGCTTTCAAAGTTTATGTTTCTGATATATCAATAATTACATAGCTAAAACATGTTAAGCCCCTAAAATTTATGTATTTCGATTAAAACCATTTTTCAAATAACAGAAATTATAACACATCATGATAAAAAATTAAATAGAAAATTTTAGTATATTTCAAAAGTTAGAAACTGCCATAGTGAAAAATATATATCATATTATGGTTTGTCATATTCTTGTTCCGAGCTTTTGATTTAATAAAGATTTGGGAGACAAATTTACTGTTTTTTTTTGTTTTTGTTTTTTTAGTTTAGGACTTAACAAATTTTGCTTCAATTTCAACAAATCAAATTATTTTTAATCTTAGAAAGATTCAATTTTATGAAACTACAGGTTTTTTTGCACTTTTTTCTGAATTCAGATGATATAGATTTATTGAATTTTACATATTAGGCACTCATATATTTAGAATAAACTTACTATTTCTTTCTTCAGTATCATCATCTGGGAACAAATCGACTACTGGATCATCGGACTTTGGTTTATCTTGTTTCGATTCGGATTGAGACTCATCCTGGAAAAAATAATAAATTCTTAAGAGTATTTTTTTATGAACTTAATAATAGAATAATAATAACAGAAAATGTCTATTATTATTTTTTACAAAGAAAATTTTGTACTATTGAGTAATTGCATGTATTTTAAATTTGCATTTGTTGCTGAACAATGATAAAAACTTTTTACTTTTATGCATATTTTCCAAGATAATTAGCGCTAAAGAAAAGTGGTGGACGAGAGTGGATTCTTTCTTTTATTCTATATTTTAATAATTTTTTCTTTATTTTTACATACTTTTATTTACTTATGTATTTTTATTTAATTAGTTTTGGTCCATTACTTTTTCTTCTATGTATTTCATTTATATATCTCCATTTATATAGTTTATTTTTTAAAATTGATTTTATATCTCTCTATTAAATAAAAAAGTTTTTAGTGACTGTCATATTTCACTCTTACAAATACAAAGTAGGACCGGACGGACCGTAATGAAAACAACAAGAGGAACCATAATGAATACACCACACTTTTTATTCCTTGAATTACTTCTCCTTTAATACGGTTACAAATTGACAATAAAAATAATTATAATTATATATTAATATAAATTGGCAATAAGGCGTCATGTACAATATAGATTTTTAAAGAAACTAAAAATTTGTCTGAACTGTGGTTTTTTGCATTTATTTTGTGTCGGTAAAAATAATACAATCTGAACTACAGAATACATATAAATTACAGTTATACAATTTGAGCGATGAGCAGTACAATTAAATGAATAATTGTATAATTTGTAAAATGGGGATTGGGCTGACATTACATTAGTTGGACAGGAAGTACCTCTCCTAGTACATATATATTTTTTTATTTATAGATTTATTTAGGAAGGAGATGGTCCGGGGTTGCTGTCATAAATAGGCTAAATAGTGCTAAAACTATTTTATTGAAAGCCGACGTTTCGACCCGACTTTGCAGGTCTTCATCAGGGAGGTGTGTTCAGCTAGGAGTTTCACTTAGAACTGCTCAGTAAGTGAAACTCCTAGCTGAACACACCTCCCTGATGAAGACCTGCAAAGTCGGGTTGAAATGTCGGCTTTCAATAAAATAGTTTTACCACTATTTAGCCTATTTATGACCGCAACCCCGGACCATATCCTTTCTTTATAATGCAATGGTCACCTATCAAATATTCTCTATAGATTTATTTATTTATTAATTATTTTATATTTATTTACTTTATTTTTTCTTACATTTTTTTATCCTACCAACTTAATATTTTAATACTAGTATTATTTTACTAAACGGGCGCTGATGACCTAGATATTTTGTGCCTACAATATCAAAACAACTAACAAATTGAAGTCCGCACCGAAATTGTTAAACTAAAATGTTATACATTTTTTTTTGTTTTTCAGTATATAATATAATTAGGAATGAATTTCTTAAAATAATGATATAGATGATGTTATCAAAAATCAGCAAGGAAAAATATTATTACTTATTTCTCTCCAATGTCAAACCATCTTAAAGTTAGTTCAACAATAATTATAATATCATATAAGTAATATCTCACCATTATGTCTTGATCGTATTTTTTGACAGAAGACATGAATTCTAGATGTTTCTTTTCTTCCTCGAGTTGAGCTACCGCTTGTTCGGAGGCTTGCAACTTCTGCTGGGTGTTGGCCAACTCATCCCGAAGCCAGGCATTCTCTTGGCATAGCCTCCGCACCTGCGTTCGAAGCTTTTGCTTTTCAGCCTCGACAATTTGAAGGTGGTTGGCGAGGGAAACCATGACCTGTATAATGAAAAAAAAACATAACAGATTTTAAAGAAAGGTATTTTAAAAATTATTCGAGAGAAAACAACCATCTTCTTGAACAAATATCAAAACGCATAAATATATCGATCTTAACTGATCCCAAAAATTTATATTCAGATTTATTTATTAATATTTCACAATATATTCACAACTCACCTGGAACATATCAAGTAAATGTGATGTCGTTTATTTTGTTTTTGATATTTTTGAAAATTCTTCATAGGTCTTTATATTGCATGCAAGATATCTCTGGACTGCTTTTTTAGTATTCATTCAGTTTGACCAGATAACAGGGAGGAAGAAAGAGATAGGACAAATAGATTAGGATAATTAAGAGCTGAAGAGTACAATATGGTGTATTAGTTGAGTAAATAGGATTTTACCATTGGTATGTTAATGGCATTGTGAGTTGTGCGTTTTGAAATAAATCACGGTGCATTTACAATGTTCATTCATAATGGAAAAACAAAAACTTTATTTTGAGATTGAAGTCCCTAAAGAATAAAAAAGATAATTTATTTTTACAACACGTATATTGCGACTAATTAGTTAATTTCAGAGCTTATTTATTTATTTATTTATATTTTATGCAATTTGCACCTACGCGGCTGCACATCTAGCAAATTTGTTGAGTTTGTATAGTCTTTGTGTATTTGCTTGATATGGTTTTTATTAGTATAGTAGTTCTCTTGGCCATTTTCTTTTTAATTTGCGTTGTTCAGGTAACATGGAACAGGAGATAGAAAGAACCAGAGGATTGGAGTGATTTTGGGTTTAAGAATGAAATGTAGTGTATTTGTCGTGGATGAGCTTAAAACGAAAATTTAATTTTTTATTTTAATCAGATTATATATGTTGGAATCTTTATATTCTGTAATTTAAGCAGTAAAAGTAAAACTCCCAAGCAAATTTTCAAGTAAAGGTTTTACAGAACTTAATTTTTAAAAAACAAAATAACTTGTGTTTAAAGTGGATGCTTTAATGAATATGGAGACATCTACTACTTCTTTTTAATCATTATATAATTTATTTAGCAATATATAATATAATTTGTTTATTAGTATCCTGTCCATCCAACCGTATCTATCCATCATATGAGGAGCATATTCCATTCAAACTTTGGGTTCATCCAACATTCCGAACAGTATCGAAATACTGGATGAATTATTGTTTTACTTATCCTTTCCTTCGTGCCTTTGATAAAACTTTCTTCGGAGGAAGAAATAGGTGTGATTTTCTGAAAGAACGGACTCTTTGGATTTGTTCTTTTATAGTGTTGTAACTATTATAATTTTAAAAAATCAAAACGCTCACCTGTGCCTCCCCGATGCCCAGCTCGATCATGTCAAGAGATTTTTGAACGAGGGCCTGCCTCTCGGCGCTAGACTCAGCGGCTGCGGTCATAGCGGCCTGGGCCCTCTCGACAGCGGACACAGTCAGCTCCGTAGAGAGCAGCGAGTTGTGCTCATTCTTCAGCGCTTCCAGGCCTTGGATCACGATTTTCGTGTTGGCCATGATTTCCTCCTGCGTCATCTGCGTCATTTTGCCGATTGATTCAATCTTCTTCCTGTAAACAAAAAAAAAAAATTGTATTGAAGTAATCGAAACAATGTAATAATAAACTGGTACCAATTATTAATAAATAGTAGATATCTCAATTTTTTTTTCTAAATTAATAAATATATAAAAAAAAATTGATATTGGTAAACAATAGTTGCAGTGAAACCATAGGAGTATTAAGACATCCCATCGTGTAACTAAACATATTTATTCGTAATATCCTATAAGCAGTAAATAATCTGTTATGTTCGACACTAAAATTGGTGTTGTATTATTGATTTTTAAGCTACTGAATATGGCCTTATAACTTTTTGTAAAATGAGACTTCATTGTCTTGTAATAACATTTAATTGACTGGGATTCAGTTGACCGATTGAACGTCAAGTTATGCTTACCCTAGGTGCCGACTCTTTGGGACAAGGCACCTTATACCTTCCGTCTCCTCAATATTTTTGAAAGAGGACCCAGCCAACATTCCAATATTTTGCATTAGTTTATTTAAAATAACTCACAAAAATTTCAGTAAAATGTAATGGTAATAATTATATTAGATATATTGCAGGTAATAAATTGATAATGGAGCTACTTCTTAATATATGTGTTCCATCACTTCTTTCTTTCTCCTTTGCACTGAACACTGTTAAACTAATCTTTAGTGGCGATCATAGAGTAGGGCGACCTAGGCATCCCCCAATTATAGGGAATTAAAAAAAATTACAATACATGTGAGAATAATTTAATTTATGATATTATTAATACAGCAACTGAATTAGAGACATGTTGTATGAAATATTATTCAAATATTATCTAACATAAACCAGATTAAGAAATATACTAGTTTTTTTTTCTGAGTGGGGGGCTTGCTCATTGGCACAAAATATTTCTTAAGTTCTGCCACCTGTATGAACTACATATTTGCAGAAGAAAGGAGGATTCTAAGTTTTCATCTTATAAAAAAGTATTTTTAAAATAGCTTTAATAGCAACCATTAAATATTAATATATTGCTTATTACAAAAAAATACCAATTTATTAACATTTCCAATTAAATACACAGGGTGTTTCATGGTTAAGTGGCCAAACTGCAAAAATGAACTGAGGACCTCAAAACAAGAAAAACATTTTCCTCTGAAGATATGTCCACAAATACTTTGTTTAGGAGATATCCATACCTAAAGATTTTCGTTGTCATGAATTATTTACGTTACATGAAATAAATAAAACCTATTTATTAGTTCTAAATAGGCTACTCTTTATTAATTAAATGTAAATATTAACCTTTATATTAAATGTTATTGAAAGCGAAGGTTTCTCCGCAAACGCTTTGCATTTCTTGCCATCAAAATATATATATTTTTTTTTTCCCTTAGTTAAATCAGACTTTTCTGAATTCATTTTTTATAAACTGCTTTCAAACTAACGACATCAGGAAAAACATCCATGCGATATGAAAAACAATTAATTTTTACCAAACAAAAACAAGGAAATGGAGGACACCGGTAGACTCGACCAATCACAAGAGACAATGTGACCCACGTCGCACTTTATTTTTGTAAAGCATTTCCTCGTCTTTGTGGCTATACAGGGTTTTCTTAGGCCAAGGGAGTGAGTAGGGGATCCATTGCAGGCTGTGTGTTTTTCTTTCCCCTACCTCCTCTCCATCTCTACAACAGGGATGTCAAATTCAAGGCAGAAAATATCTGGTCACGTTAGCTACAGGTAACAAAAAGAACATAGCACACCACAATTTCACTTTTAAAAAGTTCATTTTCATTGTTTAGTTGTTAAGGCCGGTCCAGAAGCCCCGTTATGCACAACGTTTTGTCTGCGCAGTTCAAAACGTTGCGTGTGGACTGGAAAACTGTGCAGTTTTGAATCCATTTAGAAGACGGTACAGTTTTAGTAAAACTGAGCCAGAGAGCATAGATTTCCTTGAACTGCGCAGACAAGTTGGCGCATGTGGACGGTAGCACCGTTTTCCGATTCATTTTGTTATTCAGTTTCAATTCGTCAGGCGACAATGGCCTAGAGAGTTTTTAACTGATTTTATTGCTCTATATGGAAGTTTTCCGCGCATTTGGCTTGTTAAATCAAAAGAACACAGTGACAGGGATAAGGGCGCACAGCACCGCCGTTGCCCGGCAACCTGATCTGATGAGACGATAGATTTAAAATAGTCACGAGTTGGCGTCCCGGTGCCGAGGGAGTCTTTTAAATCCCCGCCCACAACCCCTGGCACGGGGAAACCCCGTATAGCCTTAAAGACGAGGAAGGGGAGAATCCAAAAAAAGAAGGGGAGGCGCATGAAATTACGGCAAACCGGGAGACAGTTGTGAAAAACATAAATTCATTGAGAAGATGTGTACCGAAAAGAATTGCCTAAAATAAATAAATCGATTCGATCTGGGGCTGGAGAAGACGAAATATACAAGCCATCTCTCTGGTATTTTGATTTGTTAAATTTCCTGAATGATCAGGAGACACCAAGGCAGTCTAGGAATACAATGGATGAAAATGAAGACTCTAAAATTGACGAACCATGAGAACAGGAAGAAAACTGAGCAAAGCATAAAGATATGTCTGTGCCATGTGGACGCTCTAAAAATGAAAAGATTTTCATTCCGTCTTAAGACTGCGCAGACAAAACGGAGCGTGTGGGCCGGCCTTTAAACACGACGTCTTTGCCGTGTTTTCTATCTTGAACAATTATTTTATTCGATTCTTGTTTCAATATCGATATTTCTCAACATTCCTAGAAGGCCGCTCTATGTTATTCAGTACTGCTTACACTCTCATTTATTATAAGAATATTCATAACAACTCATATCCCTAAGCCTAAAAGCATTATTCAGCAACGAAAAAAAATTGATATCCATCTTAATTTAAGATGTTCTAAGCTCACTATAAACAAAAAAAAAATAATAATAATAATAAAAAATTACAGAACATTGTCTTGGAACAAATTCGTGAGATGAAAAGTGAGGGGGGCTCCGTGGTAGAAAGTAGAGCCCTGACAAATCTAATCCATTCTTTTTCATGGCCTCACTATCCTTAACGTCGCTGTGGGCCATCACTCTTCCCTTCAACGTCCGGTAAAAGTGCTAGAACATTCTGGACCGTTCTAGATTATTCTTCAAGTTATTTTACTATGTATTTTCGAACAATTACTTTCTCAAAAAGTTCCATTCATTACTTGTTTACCTCCCATAATACAAACGCGAAAAGACAAAAAAAAAAAAAGTTGCCAAGTAAGAACAGTATAAATTCCTCACCGATTTCATTGGCTAAAAATATCTATATTACACGATCTAAAATTTTTCGCATGAGAATAAAATCTCTGGTTGAAGCCGTTTTAGAAAATTCAGTAATTCCTTAACATATACCGGTTTGATATCCACGAGTTTTTTTCATCAGCGAATACTAAAATGCTAAAGATTTCTGCATTTGCGGATGCCATATAAAACTTATAATACAGTGGTCTGTGGTTAATAATTCGATAAAAAGAGATCTGTACCACGCACGGGCGGATCTACGGGGGGGGGGAGGGCTTTCGGGCTGAAGCCCCCAGTAAAATATAACCATGTTTTATGGAAAAAAATATTTAAAAAATATTTCTTAAAGTATTATTGTTCGTGTAATTACATTTAAAAGGACTTAAGGAATCACTTAAACACCATTTCATATAGATAGGTAGTTTCTTTCTTTTTTTCCAAAGTAATTATCCTCATTTTTAAGAAAAAAAAAGCTTTCGGGCTGAAGCCCTCCCCCCCAAAATTAAATCCTGGATCCGCTAGTGGTACCACGCATTATTATTACAACTACAACAGTCATTGAAAGAATTAGAAGGTTTCAAACTCAGATCAGTTTGGCTACCAAAAAGTTGAAGTAAAATTCCCTGAATTCTCCCTAACATTTCCCTATTTAATGATAGTTTTCCCTGACCAATATGTCTAGAGAGGGAAATATTAAAAATGTATAATTTATAACTAAATTTATTTATTATACAAAAGCATAAGTATATTTAAGTAGTTATTTTGATTAGTTTAGTTTCTTTTCGTTTAGTTTATATACATTTACATTTAGTATTATTATATTACTGTTTATTTATTTTTATTTATTATTCATAGTATAAATGAGCTACTCTTAAATGTGACCGATTGTAATATATCTTAATACAGAAATTTCCTTAAAAAAAAATTATTATACATGAAAGAAAATTTACTACAAAATGATTTGAAGTAAAAAAAAAAAATCAGTCTTTTAAACAACAAATATAATGTTTTAGAGTAATAATTTTTAAGATTTTTAATTTTAGAAAGTAAAATTTAAGTAATTTATTTTTATCGCTTTTATTTTATTTTCATAGACTGCGTTGATGTTTGATATATAAAGCTCAGATTTTCTCTATTATAAAATGTGAGATACGGAGAATTCTAATATTAATTTATTTTATTTATTATTAAAAACAGCGTAACAATTATCCATATGACACCAACTGTGACCACGGGTCGAACGAATGAGTGCTTGCCAGCCAATGAACTAAACTGACCATAGCCACATGAATTAACTAAAAATATAATGCAAAATAAAATTTAAATAATATATAGGCATCTATAGTTTGTCACTCTCCCACTCTTAGAGTTAAATTATTTTTTCTGTTTAGTATTGTAATAAGAATATAGAAAAGCAAGAAGTTTTTCCTTGGAAGAAAAATTCCAATATATGCTGCCGACTAGAGAGTGAGAGTCCAATAGTATAGATTCAAGAATTAAATTTAAGTCTTTCAACAATTTGAAAAAAATCCAAATCGATTGTAATGTTTTTCGTTTCAAAAAAGCAATACGTTAAGTCCATTTGGCTTGAATTTTATTCATTACCCTTAATATGCCTGGAGACCGAAATATTAAAAAATGTATAATTTATAACTAAATTTATTTATTATACATACAAAATCATGTGTGCATTTAAGTAATTATTTTGATTAGTTTAGTTTGTTTTTGTTTAGTTT